TACTGTCAGCAAATGTTATTAATTCCAAAAAGCTATTTTTACAATTTTGATAACACCCAAACATATGACACTGGATTTGATATTTTTTTTTAAGAAAAGTTTCTTCGTTACATTGAGAACTTTTTGGTACTTCTCACAAAAATGGCTCAACAAAATTAAGTAAATAAAATAAATAAATCACCAACACTTCTGAGTTTTACAAGCTGAGATATCTGATAGGTTTGTGTTTAACCAGACTACTAATACTTATACATAGCCTAATTTCATAATACTGTAAAATTCAGTTGAGGAGGTGGGGTATTTGCTTTGTGCTATCTAATATTTATGTATCTGTTTACAATTGCATATATAAACTAATTCTGTTAGGCATAACTGTATAATGCCAATAAAAAGTAATTATGCAAGTAAAAAATCTAAAAATTTGAAACCAAAATCAAAAGTAAATCATTCAAATACAAAGAAAAAAAAAGATTACAAAATGACACATCCACATCCACATTTAAGTTCAAATGTCAATCCTTGTTTTTGATTGGCTAAACTCACTAAATATGCTCAAAGTTTTCCCAAATTCATATCCAGAAGTACAAAATGTCCTATTTACCATTTGCTTAAACATGACACACTCAGTCGGAAAAGGTGTTGACTAACAAGCCACATGACATATATGCCTTGAAGCATTCACATCATAAAATTGCATATAAATGCTTTTAAACAGTTCAGTAATGTAATACAAATATATTAAGAAGCTGAACTATATTTCTAATTAGGCAGGGAGCGTGTTTATAGGAACCAGGAAATTTTGCTTATTGATCTGTTTGCACACAATTATGGATTGACAAGAGAGAGTTGCAATTGAAAATTTCTTGCATGTGGCTCAGGGGCACACTACTTTCAATGGCAGAAGACAAGAGAAAGCAATTGGCAGAATCTCTCGAGAATCCTGCAACTAAAAATAGTTTGCCATCTTTGACAAAGCAAATTCTATGAAATGGAAATCTTCATCACAAGAGTCCATGAAGCACTTAGAGGTCATTTGATAGAAAATGAATTTATAAAATCAAGAAACAAATGTGTTCAGCAAAGACAGTGCAGGTTATCCTAGATTTTCACAAATCAGACGAATTTAGAAGGATCCAAGTTTTATTTTGAAAGTTTTCTTTGTTATTTGACTAAACCAAAACTATATATAATGGCAACAATTTTGTTTTCTTGTTTTTGCTTTTTTATTCGCAGGCCATTGATTCTAAAGGTATTTGATTGGCTGTTCATGTCTTCAGCAATATTAATTTGTTTATCTTAGTAAACCAAAATACAGAGAGGAAAAAAAAGAAGAGATGAATTCCAGAAAAATAGAAATTCTTTTTTGTAAACACAAAAATACTTTAATCAATAAAAAGCATTTCTTATTTTTTGTTAATCAAATTGTAACACAAAAGTTTCTGGTGCTACAAGTTAGTTTTATTTTTCATGAAATTTTACATGTAAATTTTTTTATCATAAATGACAAAGCTTTCTTATATGTCAGCAGAATACTATAAAATTTGTATTCAGGATGACCTTAAAGGTTAAATACTGATGGAGAGAAAGAGAGAGATATGTAATATATTTGCCATAAAATGTTTATTTCAGTTTTCTTGATAGAATTCTTTCTTGATAGAATAAGAGAGGCACAGTGGAGTAATGGATAGTGATTCAGATTGAGGAATCGGACAGCTGAGTTCGAATTCCAGTTAAGTCCATTACATTTACTTAAATGTTAATACCCTTGGGAAAGCTATGAATCCTTTTCTTCTCCCCCCAGCTATGGGTAAATAGCAGGACAGACCAGGTTCGATAGCCTTGAATGGCAACTGGTCTACTGCAGAAAGAAATGGCAACCTACTGTAGGAAAAAATCTGCCTGCCCAGTCATGTATCTTTCGATACATGATTGCCTTAACGTGTATCACGCATGGCACATAACTGATAGAATTCAAGTTGCATTCAATCAAAAAAACATCATAAAATTGTAGATTGCATAAAAACTATCAAAAACTATCTTTGTAAATAAAGTCCAATAAATAGTGTTTGACATTTTCTTGTCAATTAACAAGAAAAAAAAAGGTATAAATACAAATGCTCTCAACCTATTTTAGTGAATTTATGTGATGAGAGCAAATGAAAGAAAGATCTGAAAAATGCATTTTTTAAAGACCCAAATGGTTTTATTTTCTGAAATAACATCAGTCTATGAAGGTTGACAATATAGTAGAAAGAATTGGTTAGATGCTCACTCACCTGCACTATATCACTTACTAGGCTATACTAATGATGAGATACTGATGTCTGACAGCAGCAAAGAGTATAGGGTGATGCCTTTACCAAGGACATTAATACAACTGCAAATGCCTTTAGCCAAAATCCCAAATATTCATTTATTCCATTTTATATGCTGATTACCATTACACTTTCTATAACATCTGCTAACCCACATATGCAGACATTTTCAATATGATAGCTGTCATTGAAAAGCTTTACTACTGTTTCAATTCTATTAGTTGAATCAGGAAAAATCTATTGCAATGAGAGATCTTCATCTATTAGCCTTACTTGACTATTTGTTGTATTTAAAGTCTTTTTTGTAATGTTATCGGAATTACTCTCTATGCAGAATTTCAATATTCTTTTGCTTTCCTTAGAGTTTGACAAACTATGTCATCTATGTCTCACACCTACACAAATCGGCCACCTTACTCTCTTTCACCAACGAGTCAACACTTTCTGGTGGATCAGTATTAGGTTGGGGGTAATGTATTGAAGATACATCTTTTTCAGAACTTGTTAAAGGAAGAAAAAATAAAGAGACCATCTTGTTTTATGTACTGTGTTTTTTCAAGACATTGGTGATCATGGCTCACCACAGTTTCCTGTCTTTTGTAGTTCTTAGTAAATTTTGTCTTTTTGTTATCTTTCTTAAATACTGATCTGCCAGTGATATCAAACCCTGACACATCAAATTCGTTTCTTTTCCAGATTCATTTTCAACGCTGTCTTGATTTTTTTCCAAATCAAAAAAATAATCAAACCATCAATTTAACTAAAATATTCACAAAAAATTATATTAGACCAGAATTAGAATTTCAGTATTCAAATAATAATTCCCACACCAAGAGATTAAATTTAATTATTTATTGAATGGATCTACAATTAGTATATATGATTTATTTAATGTTCCCCAAAATAAAATTGAGTAAAATAGTGGAAATGCTACGAGGAATGGATTTGTTATTTTTTTTTTATATAATATATCACTCTAGACAAATTGTGAGAGAAAATATTGACAGCATCTGGAAAAATATTTCAATTAAATTTACTAACTTTTCCAAGTTAGAAATAATTACTGAAAAAATTATCAAAGTTCTTCAGGTTTTAAAGAATTTATAATTGCAAATAAGAATTAATGATAATTTGAGTTATTACAAGTCATTAATCTTATGGCTGGAAATAATGATTAACTATAAAAATAATTGTTAATTCATAATTATTACAAGTTATAACTGTATTATTTTTGCCTCAAGTAATGATGAAATTGGTATTAAGAAAATAGAATCATTACTTGAAGCAGGTATAGGAAATTCAGTTGAGTGAATCATGAGGAATTTTTATGGCCTGTAATAGATACGATGCAAGAGAGAATGATTAGACAGAAGGGGATTTTCTTGTTTATTTTTATTGCCTTTTATAGCCACGTTTTTTCTTAATATGTTGCTCAGTAATAACAAACAAAGGGAAAACAAAAATGAAGACATTTGCTTCCACTGAAACTCAAATTTAAATCTCATCCCTTGTGTAGTTTGCCTTTCATTGCCAATGCATTTCAGCTACCAAAACTGTCATGATCAGACATGATCTCTCAGCTCAAATCTTTTGCCATCATTCCATTTATTCAAACTATTCTGTGCTGTACTGTTGATCATTTAAGAATGTTTTTCTCTCTAAGTATTTTCTCAATGACAAATATTTAGATCACTTTTCCTAAATCTAACTTTGTTACTTTTTAACCAAGTTAGAAATAAAAAAAGGAAGTTCTCAGTATTTATAAATTGTGAACATATGTTATCTCAAAAAAAAGGTTCAGTTAATTCCTTCTTCCTTTTAAAATTAAAAGTTTTTGAACTGATAAATATTGATCAAAAAAGAAAGACAAAGTTTTGCAGATCATGCTTCTAGAATATTTGTTAAACCATTGAAGAAACAATATTCTTAACAGTGTTCTAAATATTCATAGTCAATTTTCTAAAGATAACATGCAAAAGAGAAATTGTGAAAAATAAAAAATTCTATTATAAAATCTATCGTTCATGTAAGTTTGAAAGAAAAAGGTAAAAAAATGACAAAACAAGTGATGTTTAGTTACTTGTTTAAAATACTGAGGTTTAACTATGAGAAAACAACACATAAAAACTTATTTATAATTAGTGTGTACATGTATAAAAAAAAAATAATTTATAAAATTAAAAAAATGAAAAGCAATTGATAATTTTGTCTGCAGATAAAAAAGTATTAGAAACTTTTTTCATATAACAAATTTTATTGTATTTTGTTTCACATTTGAAAATATATAAAAGGTGAATAAATTGTGTAAAAATCTAATTAAAATCAAAAACTGTTCTTAATAAGAATTCTTGATAAGAATTCCACTATAGAAGAGAAACTAACAAAATTATTTTGGCATTAGAGAAATAATTTAGCAAAAAAACAAAAACAGAACTGAATCTGATAATACACTAGTGTTTCAATTTGACATATTTTTAAACAAGTCTGTCTGCATAAATGTCTTCTGGGAAAGTAAAACACAAAATTATGATTCTTTTGTAGTAATGTTACCATAATTAAGTTTATGAAGAAGGTAAAAATCCGAGGTTATTTTTTTTTCTTGATATTTCAATTAATTTCTTAATGCCCTTTCATTTTCTGTCTCAGATTAGTTGAAGTAAAAAAAGATTTTTCTTTTTCATCTATTTAAGTATACAAGAAAGTCATTCTGCAAGTATATGGGGAAGTGGAATGAAAGTAAGTGAGAGAGAGAAAGAGATGGAGTGAAGGTAAGTGAAAGAGAGAGAAAGAGATGGAGTGAAGGTAAGTGAGAGAGAGAAAAAGAGATGGAGTGAAGGTAAGTGAAAGAGAGAGAAAGAGATGGAGTGAAGGTAAGTGAGAGAGAGAAAAAGAGATGGAGTGAAGGTAAGTGAAAGAGAGAGAAAGAGATGGAGTGAAGGTAAGTGAGAGAGAGAAAAAGAGTGAAGGTAAGTGAGAGAGAGAGAAACAGATGGAGTGCAGGTAAGTGAGAGAGAGAGAAAGAGATGGAGTGAAGGTAAGTGAAAGAGAGAGAAAGAGATGGAGTGAAGGTAAGTGATAGAGAGAGAAAGAGATGGGGTGAAGGTAAGTAAAAGAGAGAGAAGAGATGGGGTGAAGGTAAGAGAGAGAGAGAAAGAGATGGAGTGCAGGTAAGTGAGAGAAAGAGAAAGAGATGGAGTGCAGGTAAGTGATAGAGAGAAAGAGATGGAGTGAAGGTAAGTGAGAGAGAGAGAAAGAGATGGAGGAAGAGAGAAAGAGAGAGAGAGAGAAAGAGAGAGAGAGAGAGAAGAGAGAGGAGAGAGAGAGAGAGAGAGAGAGAGAGAGATGGAGTGAAGGTAAGTGAGAGAGAGAGAAAGAGAGATGGAGTGAAGGTAAGTGAGAGAGAGAGAGAGAGAGAGATGGAGTGAAGGTAAGTGAGAGAGAGATAGAGAGATATGGAATGACGGTAAGTGAGAGAGAGTGAAAGAGATGGAGTGAAGGTAAGTGAGAGAAAGAGAAAGAGATGGAGTGAAGGTAAGTGAGAGAGAGAGAGAGAGAGAGATGGAGTGAAGGTAAGTGAGAGAAAGAGATGGAGTGAAGGTAAGTGAGAGAGAGAAAGAGATGGAGTGAAGGTAAGTGAGAGAGAGAGAGAGAAAGAGATGGAGCGAAGGTAAGTGAGAGAAAGAGAAAGAGATGGAGTGAAGGTAAGTGAAAGAGAGACAAAGAGATGGAATGAAGGTAAGTGAGAGAGGGAAAGAGATGGAATGAAGGTAAGTGAGAGAGAGAAAGAGATGGAGTGAAGGTAAGTGAAAGAGAGACAAAGAGATGGAATGAAGGTAAGTGAGAGAGGGAAAGAGATGGAATGAAGGTAAGTGAGAGAGAGAAAGAGATGGAGTGAAGGTAAGTGAGAGAGAGAAACAGATGAGTGTGATAGAAGAGGGAGATAAGGAGCAAGACAGAGGCCAGAGAAATAGATCCGAAAAATCTCTCAGCAATTTGCGATATTCCAATTATCATATATTGTTCTGAGCCTGAAATTATTTGTGAACAGTTTTCCATTAAATCATGTTTTGCTTTTTTCACTTAAATCCTAATTCCACAACATTCATTTAAAAGTATCCACCATAATTAATTCTTATGTTTATTTTTCTTCATCTCCTGCTGCTTTCCCAGGTAGGACCACTTTTTTCAAATTATTTTAATTGGTTAAATATGTCAAACTTCGACAGACCTTACTCAAAGATACAAAAGACAGGAAGCTGTGGAGAGTTATGATCACAGATCTTGAAGAGACATGACACATAGAAGAAAAATGTAAAATAAATTTTCATTGACATTCAAAAAGAAATTATTTAAGAACTTCATATTAAGTATTTATTTAGACATAACAATCTTTTTCATAGCCTACAATTTAGAATATTATCAATTATTTCTGAAATTGACAAAAATCTTCAGTTATCAATAAAATAAAATTATTTACATCAGTTCTTTTAAGTTTATTTCAGTTTGTCAAATAATACAAATGATGCAAAATTTCTTGTCCTTTGAAGAAAAATGAATACAAATATGTTTAAAATAATCAAGAAATTTCAAGAATACATGACCTTCTGCTCTACTAAGTTAATATAAAGAAATATCAGCAATGCAAATTTTGTACAGAATTTTATAATACAACATTCTTTTTAATGTATTTGTATCTTTAATATGCTTTTGAATCTCAAAGATACATTAAAATTCAGAAGACAGAACCATAAAAAGATTTAAATTTATATATTTTTTCACTTTTTGAAATAAATTACAAGCAGATGAAAGTACCTCTAAATAGTTTAAAATAAAAACAATTTCTTTTTGAAATCATGGTTTATTTGCATCGGTCACAGAATCTTGTTTCTCAAAGTCTATAAAATGAATTGACTGAAAATAAAACAGGACAGTTGGCATTTGTCATTTTCAAAAAATTGAGGTTAAACTTCTGGAAAAGGAAATATGGCCTTGGATTTGAGTTGAGAGAATGAAAGTAGAAATAGCAGAAGAGAGGGAAATAAGCAAGAATTAGAAAGACCTACACAAAGAAGAAAATCATGCACAACAAACTATCCAATAAGCAAAGCAAATGGAGAGAAAAGTGGGTTGGTAATTGTTTGGTCAGTAAAGTGTTAACTAAAAAAAAGAAAATATATTGAAAGAAAGAAAAGACATCACTTGGGTAGGTAGATAATAGATAGACAAGAGTCTGTAGAAAATGGGCAGCTCAAGAGGAAAGCCTTCATTTGATAGAAGGAGGAGAACATGCAAGTGGAGAGAAAGATTTGATTGACATGTTGAAATGTGGGAGTAAGTTGTTCAAGAATTAAATGTAGTGCTTCTGCAAGATGGAGACAGTGATTACTGCTGAATAGACAAAAACAGCAACATATAAGGACAAATATGGAATGGAAAAGATTTGCCTGCAATAAAATGTACTTTCTCTACACAAATGAGAACTTATAGTATTTTTCTTTTACATCCCCCCATATAAAAGAAAAATACTATATATATATATATATATTAGTTGAATTGATGTGAGTTTATGACCCTGGGTTTCACACCTTTGTGATCAACAGACAAAATATATATGTTAGCTCTATTATCACTGATATTGAGTTCTTTCCAATAAGTACCATACATATATAAATAATATATATAAAAAATTACATATATATATATTTTAGGGATACGTTTTCACAACATTGCCTATATGATCGTATTGCGAAATGGAACGCTGATCTTAAAAATTTCAGTTATTCTGTTTTGATTAGTCTTATGTCTATCGTCTTTTTATGTTGACTTGAATATCGTCTAATTTTAATTATGTTTTAATAACTATTCCCTGAAGAAGGTCTACCAGACCGAAACGTCTGACGTCGACATTGAAACAATATTAAAACAGCATACTTGCATATTCGGATTTGTTTTTCCATATTTTTCTTCATATATATATATATATATTATACATATATATACACACACACACACACACACACTCATGCACACCATTATTATTATTATAAAAATATAAGTTTTATATCTATACAATATAATTTAATAAAATATATTTTTAAAGAAATAAAATCCTCAAAATTGTTTTTCAAAGAATAATCAAAAATTGGGGGTTTAAAACCAGTTTCATAAATTCTAACCAATCACTTTTTTATGTCTCATTAGTAAACATCTCTGGAAATTTCAAAGTTTGAGATGGCGGAGGGGTAAAAAATGTTGATTTTATGGTTGACAAATCCTTTAAAGATCAATTATTGATACTTAAAAACAGATGAAACAAAATATGAAATTGATCTCCAGTAAAGAGATTTTGGATGTTTTGGGGGACAAATGGAGTGGTAGCCCTTTTTGGTCAGATAGAGAACATTTCATCTCAGATCATTAATACAGATAATAATGCCACAGTTTTTATGGGAGCACCTCCAAAAATTTAGATGACCAGAGCCTGGCAGCTGATCTCTCAATCTAATAGCACAATGGATCAAAAACTGGCTTGTAACATTCAATTACTTCCAAAAACCAAGCTACAGTCCTTAGTTCTACGAGTTCAGAACTTCCATGTCACATACACAGGCTCAAATCATCCTCATCTCCCCTCTGTTGTCCATTGGTAAGGACAAAGTTCCATTCAAACGGCTGCTTCCTAAGAAGCACAACTTTGTGGAATAGAATGCCAAGAGGATGCTTTCCCATTAACTACAGTCTTCAAGTCTTGAGTCAACCATTCTCTATCCTATATAGCCTTATACTCTTCCCTTACTGCCTCCACTTCTTAAGTCCATCCAGCAACTTCATCCAGTAATCCTCTACCTTGAGTGGCTCTTTGACATTGCATTGGCTGAATATTTATTAAAATAAAAAATAACATAACCCCTTCTCATTAAAATTTTTTGTGGAGCATTGATATATTCTCTCATTATATAATTTATGTATATCTCCCTATGTAAAGAAAACACATAAGCACATAATTACTGCCCATGTAAATAAAACATGAAATGTCTTTAAATACATCAGAGAAAACAACTGCAAAATCCATAAAAGTGAGGATAAAAAAATAAAATAAAAACCTGGCATGCATATTTGTAGAATTTCATATTTACATATATTTGCTGAAAATGCTATAATCGGAAAAGTCTTTGCATTTCTTCAAAGCATCTCTAATTGTTCCGATAGGATTCCATTCATTCTTTGAGATTTTATCTTCTTTTAAATTTTCATCATCATTAATTTTATATCTGGTTCATTTATTGAGCTTTTACAAGAAAACAAGGCTTCATTCCTTATCAAAGCAAGATAAAAGCATATGCAATGAGTAAAGCCTTTCTATAGATTCCTTTTTTTCTCATCCGTTATTCAAAGGATAAAAACAGGATTCAGCCCAATCTGCTTGGATACAATTATTCATCAGACATTGGGACAATCTGACATCAGAGAATTTGCAACCATTAGCTACACTTATCTTGAAATTCTATAATCAAAATGGTAAATGTTGCAAAGTACAGTTACCCTTTAATGTTAGAAAATTCTTTCTACAAAATACAAAGATTGCAAAGAAAAAAAACAAGTTCCACCTCATATAAAATCAAAATGCATTTTACTCTAAATGTTATTTTTATGTATATACATGTTTGAGCAGACCCGATTTTTTATTTATTGATTTTAAACAGTGTGAATTACCTTTACCGGCTTGTGTATTCAAGAGACATATTTGGGTGGGAGACTTATTCTCTATCTTCTACTTCTTTCCCCTGAGATGCAAAGTCACAAGCAGATTTTAGTTTCAAAAGAGACTTTTTTTCTATTTTATAAGAGACACATATTTTAGAAGCACCTAAAAATCGAAGTGCAGTATTTTTGTAGATTCATCTTTCTAAATTATTAATATTTACTTCACTTAGTTCAGTCTGTCTTGTAACAACAATTGATCGTATTAAAAATATATATATATCTATATTTATATGTATAAAGCTATATAAGAAAATATCAATGTTTGAGATAGATATTGGCATAACTACTCAGAATATTATATATATATATATATATATATATATATTATTGAAAATTGAAATGAACTTATATATCAGTACTTGTACTAGCTGGTACATTGTTATCAGAAATAAACATTATTTAGAACAAATATTTTCTGCCAGTTTTAATAATTGAAATGACTCAGATACAAAAAATTTTATGGTGCAATTACTTTCTTGAACTTAATGAGGCAGAAAATTGTAGACTATTTTTAAAATCCAATTCATATTTATAATTTTGATAATGTGATGGATTTTATAATCCAGTCTCAACTTCTATAACAACTTATCTATAATGATAGAATTCTTTATTCATTTGCTGTTTGTCAGTCAATGAATTAATTAATTAATATGTCAATTTTCCATCTCTGTCTTTCTTTATATATATATATATATATATATATATATATATATATATAATCTGATCTCCAGATCCACAAAAAACAAGGAATATATTTTTCTGATTCATCAGTGCTTCCTCAGAAATTTTCATTTCTGCTAGGAAATCCTTTTTATTCAGCAGTCTGCAAAATCTGCAACATTGTTACAACAGACATCGGGCGGGGTGCACGGGGTGGGGGGACTGGTAACCGATTTTAATTTCCCAACCCTGTGACTCAGCAAGAAGCAGAGCCTGTTACATTATGTAATTCCCACTAAACAGGGAAACAAGAAATGACATTTTCAAATGATTGCCTCGATTTTGTTTTATTTCATTTTTTTCAAGGAATCAAAGGATTTATTTGCGGAAATTTAAAAAGACAGACAAAAAAAAAATAAACAAATAAAAAGAATTAAAAGGATTAGACAAATGCGCAGGATAAGTGCGGTGGGAGAACATAGACAAGCGCATACGAAAGCGGCTGGGGTAATAAAAAAAAATTAAAAAAAACAGAGACAACAATCCTGTACCATGGACATGGGTGGGGAATTTCGCAGTGGGACATAGAC